TGCCCTTTAGGTCTAATAATTTAGCAAGTCTATTTAATAAAAACAAGTTACGACTAATTCGACTGCAGGTTCTATCGATATAAACATCCCAACTCAAGGTGCTGTCTATTTCCACACCCAAAAAATTTATACTATTCACATTTTCTATTTCCATATTCTTAACTAAAATATTATTTTTATATTCCTGCCTACATTGCTTTGTTTGAAAAAAAAATGCAGTGCGTTTTAGTTGGATTTATGAATAAATCATTCATCTCAAAGTATTTTTCCACAACTCCAATATTAGTTGAAGTTATATATTGGAGTTCATTTATATTCTGTCCCATATTCAAGATTGAAGTATCATCAGCATACATTATAGATCTACCTTGTGTTAGGTGAGGAAAGTCATTTATATATAAAATAAAAAGCAAAGGACCAAGAACTGATCCCTGAGGGACTCCAAATTTAACTGGCAGNGGAAGTGTTTTGCACCAGGGTGCATGTCTTCAGTGAGCACAGTGGAATTAAATTTTTCCATTTTCCCAGGGATTCAGCACAGTATGAGACAGATCTGAAATATTATTATAAAACATACTGTAATATTTTGACCAGTGTTATTAAAGGAGCTAAAAACCTTCACTATAATCAATCAATTTCAAATTCTAGTAACAAAATGAAAACCACCTGGAGCATTATAAAATCAGACACAGGTAGAAAAATTAATAATGCAGGTATACAGTTTTTAAACATTGATGGGAAAAGTTAACTGATAATCATGATGTGATTACAGATTTTTTAATAATTATTTTCGAACAATAGCTGGACAACATCAATACCAATAATGTTCAACTGCATTTTCTATGATTGGAAGAAAACTTTTGACTGTGTCAATATCTGTCTATCTCTCTATCTGCCTCTCTCTGTCTAAAGTAGAATTTTATGGAATAGTTGGTAAAGCCAATGCATTGATAAAATCCTATGTGAAAGGTAGGTACCAAAGGGTAAGTCTATTTTACTCATTGGAGGAATAATTTAACTTCAGTATTAATTAATGATCTTGGTCTGTTATATGCTGGATGCCTAGTAGTATACTTTTATGTTTCATTATTGTAATCTTGTGTCATTAGGGTACTGCATTCTTTCACATATATATTTTAAAACTGTGTTAATGATGTACTCACTGTGATTTGTCTTTGATAATATGTGTAATTGTTATGGGTGTTGTGAAGGTTCGCAACCCCTTGTAGTTGTAGGAACTTTGAGTCTGATGTCTGGGGTCATGCCCTCTACTAAAATTTATAGCATGTCAAGAGGTTGACCTGCTTCCACAAAAAAAAAAATGTTATATCTACCCCTGCCATTTTCATGAATTAGTGGAGTCCTGGAGTGTTTCATCTGGGACCTATCCTTCAACAACCGCTGGTGTAACTTGATCTGCGTGAGGGTTCATGTCTCGAGACATTGGGCTGCAAGCTTAGTTTTAGGTTAGGTTTTAAGAACAAGAGAGAGGTTGAAGGGAGCATTTTGTCTGGGTTGGCGCTAGGAGAAGGCTGGGCAGGCTTACGTCCGCCAGCGCTTGTATGTAATATACACATAGTCTCAATAAATCCTCTATAGTCTGTAGTGAGTATTTGCTCTTTGTGGTTGGAATACACGCTCAGGCAGCCAACTGACAGTCATCATCACTGAGTTATTACGCTACCGCTCGGCCAACGTAATTCAGTCGACCAGCCAACATCTTGGGTCACGACATGGGTTAATTATAATTAACTTTTATTTATATCATTGATGGAACTTGTCCTGTTGTCTTTGATTATTACTATATCCACTGTTCTTCCAGCCGTGTAAGGATTAATGGAAAGTAAATAAATGAAAGAATGTCTGTTTTAGTACATGATGTAATGTAGCACCTACACCATGTTTGTAATGTTTACTGATGAATTATTTCAAGGTTTTGAGACAATATGTAATACTCTTACAGGGCTATGGTATGGGCAGGAATAGTTGGGTTATCCTGTACTACTGATTCTGCTAGAATGCTGCACAATAAAGTTCTGTGCACCAAAACATTTCTCTGAAAGTGATTTCACTACAGCTGAAAGGGTACACCTTAACAAATGTGCAGTTCCATATGGCACAGATTCTGCTGCACAGTCACTCCCACAACCTCCTGATCCTTCATTACACACCTCTTCCTTTGATCCCTTGCCTTCAGGCTTAACTCCTGAACGTGAGATTAATGTCCTACTGCCCACCAGAACCTACAGCAAGACACTGGTGCCCTCTGCTGTAGCACCTGTTCCTATCCACGTAGACAGCCCTTCCACTTCCTTTCAGATGTCTGCAATCAATTCATCACCAACAGCAGGCAACACTTCTTCAGTGAAAGAAACCTCCTATCTCTTAGGCTCTGAAAATATATGTGCTTCTGATGGGGCACTCGGGCATATCAGTTGTCAAAGTTCCTCCTCAAAGCCCAGAGCAAGGCATTCTCTGCTGAAAGAACTTAATTTGGCTTCGCTTTCTGAATTGACACCAAGGAAAGGAAATTATATGCACAAATTCGGAATAAGGAGAGCGCACTCTGCAAACTGAAAAAGAAATACAAAGGAAAGAAGTTGGAAAATCTGTGTGATGTGGACAGTGATCCACTCATGGAGAGACTTTCATCTTCTCTCAGTGTAGAGGCTGCCAGATTATTGGCAGCAATTATTAGGAACACCAGGCAGAGACCTCAGGGAAGGAGGCGGGATATCGAAGAGAAAGTGTTGGCTCTCCTTAAGTGTAGTCCCAAATCCTATATCCTTCTCTGTACACTACTCCCCCTCCTATCCAGACGATCCTTGCAGTCTGTCCTCAGTACTGTTCCATTTAGGACAGGCATCAATGCCCATGTGTTTCGTGCACTCGAACAGTCTCTGCAGAAAATTTCTGATAGAGATCGATATTGTTGTCTCATGTTTGATGAAATGTCAATCAGAGAGAACTTGCATTTCAATCAGAAGTTTGACTGCATTGAGGGTTTTGAGGTTTGTGGAAGTCAGGGCAGGACTTGCAGCATTGCAAATCATGCTCTGCTCTTCATGATCCATGACCTGCAGAGAAAGTGGAAGAAGCCAGTGGCTTACTACTTTACCCATGGAAGCAGAGAGGCAGAGATGATTGTGCAATACTTGAAGGAGGTTCTTGACGCCTGTCAGAAGGTGGTTGCCACTGTGTGTGACATTGGTGCCAACGGTGTCAAGGCCTTGAAACTTGGGTGCTTCCAAAGGAAACCACTCTTCAGATTTTACAATCAAGAAATTGCAACAGTGTATGATCCTCCCCACCTCCTGAAGTGCACCCAGAACCTTTTCCTGAAACACGATGTGCAGTTGAAGTCTGAGCATGTGGGCACCCAACTTCCTGTTGTTGCTAAGTGGGACCACATATTGAAACTGTATGAAATCGACAAAACCAGACCGTTTTGCCAGTTGTACAGGCTGACAGACACCCACCTGAACCCCACAGCACAGAGCTCAATGAACGTGCGCTTGGCTGCACGGGTCATGAGCCGTACTGTTGCAGCAAGCCTCAATGTTCTAGTGGCTACAGGTAAGCACTATATGTTTCTTTTATGAATGAAGTGACTAATAATGAGGACTAGTTTTCAAAGTTACTGCCTCAGGACCCAGTTGTAATCAAACAGACATCATTATCATCTGATTTGAATTGACTTCTGAAACTGTATATCAATATACAAGTTATGTAGAATATGTCACAAATATTGTTTTTAGGATAATTAAAAAATATTTGAAAAGCAGATGACACTATCAGTGGTATGGTTAAGGTAAATTAGGTGGCAAAGATTTTAATATGAGGAAGAATGTAATGAAATGTACAAGTTTTGTATAACGTTAATCCTTTGTAAAGTAATGTTATTTTCCAATGTAAAGAAACTGTAATTCACAACGTAAGGAGGCACACTAACTTCTGTTCCCCCCCCCCAACATTCAGGTGAGTGCAGCAGCGAATACATGGCAGCAGCTGTGTTTGTTGAGGAGGTTGACAACCTCTTCGATAGTTTCAATGGTGGAACAAGTGTTGGCCAAGGGAAAACACTGCATTGCCCACTCAGTGACAACAGGCCCCATATAGAGCTTTGGAAAAAGGCAAGTATGGGGATAAAGAGTTGGATCTTCCTCAAGGATGGTAAACCCACCTTTCTTCATCCTCCTCCTTCACAGAATGGGTGGCTGATTGACATCACTGCTGCCCAGCATGTGTGGAGGACACTGAAAGAGGCAGGTTTTCAGCACCTTCACACCCAAAACCTGAATCAGGACCCCCTGGCGAACACATTTGGAGCTATTCGTTTGAACTGTGGTTCAAACAATAACCCAATTGTAGGACAGTTTGTAGATGCCCTGAAGATTAGCATCATCAATGGCCTTGCATTTAGAGGACTGGGGGAACTAATTATGAGGATGATGGTGCTACTCTTCTGGATAATCTACAATCGCTTTTCAGGGCACCTGAAGCTGCTTCACAAAATCCTTCCAGAAGTCATGACAAGGAAATACCTGCTGGTGTGCCTGAGAGTTTCCATGTTGCTCAGCAACTACAGATGGACATGAGTCCTGCAGTACCTGCTGGTGACATGGAAGTGTTCTCAGTAGCTTATGTCAGTGGTTCCATTGCCAGACAGGTGCTTCACGGTGTCAGCTGAGATGCATGCAAGACATGCCTGACATCTGAAGTGCTGCTATCAGCCAATGTCTTCATATATTTCAAGGAGTGCAGTGATACAGAACAGTCTCTCACATATCCTTCTAAGAAGCTGGTAGAGACTGTTGGTACTGCTGTAACTCTGATGGAGTCTATAATGACAGAGGTTGCCCACTTGAATTCAGTGGAGCAGCGTATCACAGCTGCCATCAAGAGCACCATTGACTTCAAGTGGATTAGGTGTTCTGGCTGTTTGCTTCACCACGAATAGTAGATAGTATTGTGAGATGTCTCACACGAATTTACATTCCTTGGTGGTGTAAGCAAAGAAACAGGTTGATGACTGAAGCAGCCAGGCAGAGGGCCACAGAGAGGAAGATGAAGATACTGTCTCATTGGTAAGTCATTAGGAAAGTAATGCTTCTTCATTTTTCCCTTATAATGTCCTGCCCATACCAGCCCTGGAAATTGACAGAGGCCACTTATGAAATCACTGGAAGAATATGAGTGCCAACTAGTCACATGAGCATCATTAAATGTTTCATAAGTTGGAGAAAGTATCCCTGGTGACAAGCAGTTGCAGTGCAGCAACAGAAAAAACTGTGCAGCGAATGATAACATCGTCATCTACAGTTCAATTACATGCAAGAAACGTACTTTGAATTTGAGCTCCATCTCTTTTCCGCTTTGCAAACATGTTGCAGTGAATGATAACATCGTCATCCACAGTTCAGTTACACGCAAGACACCTAGTTTGAACTTCAGCTCCATATCTTTCCCGCTTTGCAAACATGTTGCAGTGAATGATAACATCGTCATCCACAGTTCAGTTACACGCAAGACACCTAGTTTGAACTTCAGCTCCATATCTTTCCCGCTTTGCAAACATGTTGCAGTGAATGATAACATAGTCAACCACAGTTCAATTACATACACGAAACTTATTTTGAACTTGAGCTCCATCTTTTCCCCTCTTTGCAAACCTGTTTCCTTCATCTCAGAATATTAGAACTTCACTGGGTCAGAGTTCATTCTGGCCTTTATCTTCAAGAAATTATATTTCAATCAAGTGTATGGGAAATTGTTTTCTGACACACATGGGTCTTGTTTATGTGTAGGTAAGAATGAGAGGCATTACTCTGTAATTGACTTGCAAAGTTCACGTTATCCAACTCAGTGTGAAACTCTGAGAAGCAGAATCAGTATCAGGATTGAATGTGGGTAGGACTATTTATGTAATTTCTTTACCTATTTCATTTTCGTTACATTGTTATTCACTTCTGTTATAGGTATATTCCTTCTCTTGCTTTTGCCATATAATGCTACCTGCACTGGACTGGTGAACATGAACATAAGATTTTCAATGGTAATTGCATTTCTTTACCATATATTATTCATTTTTGCTATATACTTGTATTCAATACTGAAGTGGAAGTTGACAAGATACCAGATTGTCAGTATTCATTACCTTTTTCATGTAAGATATGTTACTTTTGCCATATAAACCTTTCCATTACCGAACTGGAATATGAATAAATACCACATTTTCAGTATTCACTACATTGTTTTGTAAGATATGTTACTTTTGCCATATAATCCTTTCCATTACTGAACTGGAATATGAACAGATACCAGATTTTCAGTATTCATTATATTTCTTTAAGATATGTTATTCTGCCCAGTATTGAACTGGTGAAGATGAGAATATCAGATTTTCTTATATCATTAAATACAGTCTTAATCTTGTTGACGAGTGTATTTCACATTCTCGAATTCCATCATTCTAATGAAAATAAGAATAAATGGGAACATGAGTATTGTTTCTTACAATATATGATTTATAATACTTAAATGTAACCAAAAAACTGTGTTCTGTATGGCTTTCAGGTGTAAGTTATGAGGAAATTATGAGGCTTAATATATGTATCTCTGATGGAAACAGAATTTTTTTTTTCAAGTTTCCCCACCTTCGGCTTTCCTAAATACAAGTATTCCATGTATGTCACAGTTCACAATGTTCAGTGCCTCTGGTTAAAGAGGTGTTTCATGTGAAATAAAGGTTATGACTTTCCAGGCACTGGTGACAAACTTTCTCCAGATAAATAATTTGCAACCTAATGTCTTGTACTCCAGAGCTGCAGAGACTCATATTCTGCTGTTATTTTTTTTTGGAAAGGGGGTGGGGGACCAAGTTTAATAGAACTTCACTCAAATCCAACCGAAAGGGTATGGGTGAAGTGATATTAAACTTACTTATACAGCTGAGCCCTTCTTGAGAAGCTGCCAATTTTGCAACCACTCAAGAATTTTACAGCCTTTTGTAGAACCCGAAGGTTCATTACTGTGTTCACAAGAGCCCTCCACTGGTCCCTATCCTGAGCCAGATCAATCCAATCCATACCATACCATCCTATCTCACTAGGATACATTTTAATATTGTCCACCCACCTACACCTTGGTCTTCCCAGTAGTTTCTTTCCTTCTGGCGTGCCCACCAATATCCTATATGGATTCCTCGCATTCCTGGGAACGCCAGAAGGAAAGAGAGACTGCACTACAAGAGATCTGGTTGTTTAAGTATTTTTTTGCAAGAAGCGAAAAAGAGTGTTGTATGCGGCGTGGCGATGGGGGAGCAATCAACATAGTTGCTAAGGTAGCATACCTTCTTACCGATTGGAGGCCATTTTAAATTTAGTTCATGTAAGCTGAAAATAGATGGCAGCAGCATCGCACCGAGGTGTAATGGCGGCAATGTTGCCAACCATAACATGAGAGTTTCACATGGCTGCTGCGGAATCCGTCTGATTTCATGTTCGCTTGGTGGTACGGATGGACTGTTTGTGGTTTTGGTCCTTAAGTTATCGAATAGTTTCATGTAAGTAATTGCGGGCGTCTTTCAGTTAATTGGCAAGTGTGGATTTTGCTTTGATGTTGCGAAACATGAGTCGACGTTTACCCACGAAGTTTCATCTCTATGTTATTCGGTATATGAATGGTATGGTTACTACGCCGAATGAAATTAGAAATATGTATCAAGTCAAAATTCTTTGTTAAGGGTATTTCGTGGAAAATATTATTTCTGTTGTGACATAATAAGCGTCTTTCGGTGTAGCCCAAAGAAGGTCTGTAGAATGTCAGGAATATCTGATTGTACTGTGATTGTACTATAATTTTTATATTGTTTCTTGTAGGGTAGATGGAACAAAAAGTATGCTGTGCACCAGGGTGCTCATCATCCAGTAGGCAGAGTGGAATGAGATTCTTCAACTTTTCCAGGGATTCAGCATTGTATATCCCTTTTGATTCATCATATAATTGCTTTTATTATATGTTGGGTAATCCAACGAAGAAATTTAAGTTTAGCCAATGTCTGCCTTGAATGTAACCCCACAATGTAGCACATGCACCATGTTTGTAATGTTTGCTGATGACTTATTTCTAGGTTTTGAGCCAATATATAATTCTCTTTACAGGGTTCTGGTATGGGCAGGTAGAGTTGGAATATCCTACAATATTGATTCTGCTAGAATGCTACACTATAAATATTGGTGCAGCAGACATTTCTCAGAAAGTGATTTCACTGCAGCTAAAAGGGTATGCCTTAACAGAGTGGCAGTTCCATGTGGCTCACTTGAATTCAGTGGAGCAGCATATCACAGCTGCCATTAAGAACACTGTTGATTTTGAGTGGATTAGGTGTTATGGTTGTTCACTGCCAACAAATAGTAGATGGTATTGTGAGAGGTCTTACAAGAATTTACATCCCTTGGTGGTGTAAGTGAACAGACAGGTTGATGACTGAAGCAGCCATGCAGAGAGCCACAAAGAGGAAGATGAAAGTACTGCCACATCAGTAAGTAATTAGGAGAGTAATGCTTCATTTTTGCCATGTAATGTCCTGCCCATCCCAGCCTTGAAAATGTGCAGAGAGCAGTTATTGAATTACTGGAAAAATGTGTTCCATCTACTCACATGAGCATCATTAGATGTTTCATAAGTTGAAGAAAGTAATTCTGGTGACAGCAACAATGCAGCACCAGGATCTACCATGCGTTCAGATGCACTTGTCTCACACCTCTGGTATTGAATACTTAGGTAAGTCAATAAGTAAGTTACAATAGATATAGAACTTAAACAAATAAGAGTACTGATTTGAAAAATGCTTTTATTTCTCAACATAATCTCCCTGTACATTGAGGCACTTGTCCCATCGTTTCACATGCCCCTGAAAACCAGCAGCATAAAATTCTTTGGGCTGCTGTTGGAACCAGGCAGTGACTTCCCTTTCTACAGCTTCATCATAGGGAAAATGTTCAGCCGAAAGATGGTGTTTAAGAGGGCCGAAAAAATATAAGTCGCATGACAGGTTTTCACAAAGTCTGTGCACGATGGTTGCCACGCATGCTGAGCCCACAACACAAAATGCAAAGAATGGGTCCTGCATTACAGCATCGCAATTGCTACCATGATGGACACGATATGCTAGCCCGAATTGTCACAGGTGATGAGTCTTGCTCCAAGCCGGGATAGGTCAGTAGATGGCCAGGGTGCGATTCCCAGTGCAGTGGGTGGTGGGGGCTCCTAGCCTATAGTGTGAAGTTGACCCATCAACTCCATGTTGAGCTTTGGTGCTTAACTGAGCACAAACAATTTAACCTGGACAGAGTGTCCATTGGAAATTTGCAGCCCTGGTTGAGAGGTCGGTTGGTTACAGTAAAGCAGTGAAGTTACTCAGAAGATTAAATCAAAGATGGCTCATTGGCTTCTGTTACATAATTTCTGTGACCAAGTTTTCTGAATATAAGGTTACACAATGAAAGCTTGAGGGCTTCAGTCACATCATCAAGGCAACAGAGGGATTATGTGCAAAGGGGGCTTGTCTGCTGTTTATTAGGAACATGGTACACATATTACTTAAGTGCAGTGCATTTATTTGTAACTGAAAAAGCCTTTTCTTACATGACCATGTTTCAGATCAACTTACTGGCTTCCTCCCACTTTTCAGTCACTTGTGCTTTGTGCAAGTTCATTGTATGGAGTATGTGTAATTTGAGGGGGAGGGGGGCAGTAAGTTTCTATGCAAAATACAATCATTCTTCTTTTGTCTTTTTTGCAGTTTGGGGAGAACACAAAGACACTTATAGAGAGCTTCACACTGGAGAGGACGTGTGTGGGGTCGTGCTGAATTTTATTTCCTGAGATACTGCGCAAAAGTAACTTAAGTTCTTACCAGCACCAGTCATCAGTGATAGACCCCACTCCTCTTGCTACAACAGCTCACGTTACATACAAGTTCAATAGTAAGCACCACCACACGCTTTATTTTCACATTCATCATGCTGTAAATTGTATACACAATCGATACATCATCCATGAACATACTAGTTTCATTGAAGTGAAGAAAGGTAGAAAGTATGTAGTTTGGAAGAGAGGAAGAGTGCAGTATGTTGCTCTAGAAGAGTTGCTGGTGAAAGTTGAAGTTTCTTGTGTGCATTCTCCTGTAGAATATAAAATTGCATGGCATTGCAGACATGTCCTCTCCAGCACATCGACCCTGATGTCTCTCACCATCCCCCTGCAAAGCAAAACCAAGAGGCTGCTATTAATTTTTATCATCCTCTACCAAATAAATAAAGCCAGTGTTTAGTCAAACAGATTTATTTGTAATAATTCAAAATCCTATACCATTAGAACTTTTCAATAGAATGTGCAGAGAAGAAGTTTTGCATGTTGTTGAGCACTGTTGTGTTTAGGGTGTTATCTGTTTGTTTTGTCTGGTAGAGAAAGAGAAAGTGTATATAAACTGTACATTATGACTGGTTGTATAAAACATTATATGTAGGATTACAAGTTCTCATGCTGGTGGTTATGAAGAATTCTGTCATCAGGAATAGAGTGCCGCATAGTCTTTTGAAAGTCGAGCGATGTTGTAGAGAAACATGTTGCTTCCATCTTCAGGGCTGAAGAACAAACCAAGCAAGAAACCAGTGTGGAGCAGGTAGCAAGCAGAGAAACTTTTATAACTTTATATGTTCATACATGTTGCTAAAAGACAAAACAAACAGATAGCCACCTTAGCCCATTAGCAACACTACTCAATTGAAAAGTTCATCTATACGTAGCCTATAGGAAAGGTGTAAGATTGATGCCAGAACATGTAAACTTTTGTTTATTACAAACAAAGCTGCTTGACTGAGTTTTTAAACTAACACATATTTATATCTACTGAACAGAATGGAATGCAGTCATTTAAGTTTAAAAGTTAATAAATGAAGCTTACTGTAGAATAATACTCAGGTAAGAAATCATCTGTTGCGTTTTGGGAACGGACTTCAGTTCATGAAGTCATCAGTGTTAGTGGTGATATTCAAAATCGATTGAAATTGATTTGAAAATGGAAGCATTGCTACAAATAGGCTTTGTACATTGACGGCTACAGATCAAAGAATTTTGGTGGTACAGTTACAGATCCATCCAGTTTAGCCTACTTTCCTTATTTTGAAAAACAGTAGAATCATGTCTGTGTGTTTCTGTATCCCCCCCAATTGACTTCTGATTGCCTGAACACATTTTTATGAAACTTGGTATGTATATCATGGCACCTGAGCTCATTTCAATGGTGCACTTCATAAATCCCACCCATCAGTCTGTGTGTCTGCATGTGTATCCCTCTACCTATGCTAAGCAGGGGCTTAGTAAAAACGCTACCACAGCAGTGAATACACAACAGTAGCAGAATTGTTGGAGGCATCATTTTCTGTGTGGTCCATGTATCAAAGGAATATAGGCGATTACTTCTTCCAAGAATTTCATTATTTGACAGGAGTAGTGGACGTTCCCATATTGAAAATATTTTCTTCACTATCTTTGAATAGTTCAGTCAGTATAGTGACAGGCTATGGGTTTGGTGGCCAGGGTTTGATTCCCGGCAGAGGCAAGAGATTTTTCCCTACTCCACAGTGTCTAGACTGGCTCTGGGGCCCATCCAGCCTCCTCTAAAGTGGGTACCAGGTGTATAGCGGCAGGGGCATTGAAGCTTCCTGGTCATCTCCATCTAGTGTACTGGTCAAGAATGGTGGAGCTATACCTTGACTCCCCCATATGTCTTCAAGGTGTGCTGAATCAAATAAGTGCAGGGACAGCTTTACCTTTTTATGACAACTTTTCATTGAGAAAGGACCCGATATCAAGAGATATAAGTAGTACACTGAAGTGCAATTTGAAAAGTGGGTTCTGATTATGACAAAATAATTGTTGTAGGGAATTTCTGGTTCTCAGCTCAGTTCTTGAAATGTTTCTGAATTAGATTTCAGACTCATCTCAAACTGAAATAGTGATTCTTGCACATGCCTGAGACACATTTCAGTTTGAATACATGTGCTAAGTTTGTCTCAAGAGTAAGGAAGCTGTTAGAACACTATGTAAGTCTGATGTAGGGGAACAGCTGGTACTTTCTGTCACTACATTTTGTTATAGTAAAAACGCTACACTTCAGTTATTAACATGTCCTTACGGTTTATTATTAATAAACAAGAGGAGAAGCACTGCTGCTCTGCAATAGAAACAAAGCATGTCTGCACTTTACACGTTACATCAACATTCTGCCTAGCTTCATCATGGCTACCAACTTCTTAACTTTTCTTCATCAATATTACAATCTCTCAACACTTTCCCTTATTGAGAAGAAAAGAAACAATTTACAATATTAAACATTTGACTGCAATTACAAAAATAACCCCATTCTGACACACAACTTATTCATCTGTGGTTTGTGAAGTGGCTTTGTCAGAATGTCAGCAACTTGATCATTTGTTGACACTTGTTTAATACTAATCTTACCCGATTCCACAACTTCTCTAATAAAAAAATGTCTCCGATCTATATGTTTAGTTCTACCGTGCAAAGTAGGATCTTGAGCCAACTTTACAGCAGCAAAATTATCAACTTCTAATAAAGGAGTATCATTCAAACTGTTTATCTCCTTATATAATCTGCTTAACCATAGTACTTCTTTGGTTGCTTCAGTTGCTGCTACAAGTTCTGCCTCTGTAGTAGAAAGAGCCACAGTAGCTTGTCTGCGGCTAAGCCAAGATACTGCACCTCCAGCATAGATGACTACAGCGCCTGAAGTAGACCGACCCGTGCTCTCACATCCTCCAAAATCTGCATCACTGTAACAATTTAAAACTCTAGAATTACAGTTAGGATCATAGATTATGCCTAGAGACACGGTTCCCTTAATGTACTTGAGAACTCTTTTCAGTCTTCCTATGTCTTCATTTGATGGACTCTCTAGGGACCTTGAAAGTACTCCGACACTGTATGCCAAGTCTGGTCTTGAACCTATCATCAAGTACATAATAGCGCCTACGGCTTGGCGATATGGAAATCTCTTCTCATTTCTATCACCCTCTTTCCCTAATTCCATACTTCCTTTCACCATTGGAGTTGAAACTGGGTTACAATTTGAAAAGTTAAATCTCTCAAGGATTCTTTTGGCATATGCTTCTTGAGAGATCTTGATCCTTCCATCCTGTCTTCTGTCTATTTCCAAACCTAAATAATAGGTTGCTGGCCTTTCAGCTATTTTGAAATTCTGTTTCAAATCATGAAGAAAACTATTTAATTCCTCTTTATTACTTGCAACAACAAGACCATCATCAACATACAGTACTAGAAATATCTTGTTTCCATCTCTTTCTCTAATATAGAGACATGGGTCTTCCTTACTGATTCTGAATTTTTGTTCAGTCATGAACTTTCCAAAACGTTTATTCCAACACCTGGGAGCTTGCTTTAATCCATATAGGCTTCTCCTGAGCTTACATACTTTATTCGTACCATCTGAAAAACCTTCTGGTTGGCTCATGTAGATAGTCTCTTCCAAACTTCCATATAGGAAGGCTGTAGATACATCGAACTGTGACATCCACATCCCTTCCATTGCTGCTGTACTGATGGCTGCACGTATGGTTCCCCATTTTGCTACAGGACTAAATGTTGAATTGTAATCAATTCCTTGTCGCTGGCTGAAACCCTTGACTACAAGTCTTGCCTTATACTTGTCAACACTACCATCAGGATTTTCTTTGACTCTGTATACCCACTTACATTTTATAATTTTTTCATTTTCTGGTCGTTTGGTGACTTCCCATGTATTGTTTTCTCGTAAAGATTCCATTTCCTTAAGCATTGCTTCCTTCCACTTCTCCTTTTCTTTACAAGAAATTGCCTCTTCGTATGTCTCGGGGTTGAACCTTTCATTTAACACTTCTGATATCATAACATAGTCTTCTAGGTGGGATGGTTTCTTTAAGGTAGTTCTATCTCTTAAAGAGCGAGTTTTTGGATCTTCTGATTGCACCTCTTCACTATCTTCACTTTGAGTCTCATCTTCATAATCCGACTGACCACTTGTGTTTTCTAAAGCTCCAGTGCTAAAGCTGTCACCTGTCTCGGATTTAGAGTCTTCATGAGATTTGATGCATCTTATTGGATTCTCTTCGAATACCACATCTCTTGACAGTGCTATTGACCTTGTGCCTTTTATCCACACTCTGTATCTCTCATCACCGTCGTAACCCACTAAGTACCCTTTAACTGCTTTTCTATCCATCTTGGTTCTTCTTTGTTTCGGTATATGTACATAACAAGGGGTTCCAATTATCCTGAAGTGTTTCAAACGCGGCTTTTTCTTGATCCAGAGTTCATAGGGGCTTTTCCCTTCTTCCTTTGACTTTCCTGTTCTATTTAAAATATACACTGCCGTATTTACCAACTCACCCCAAATTTCTTCTGGGAATTCTGTTTCCTTGTTTGCATACATAAGTGTCCTTGCCATCTCAATAACTGTGCGGTTTTCACGCTCGGTATTCCCGTTCTGTTCAGGCGTATAGGGAGCTGTTAGCCGATGAACTATACCATTTTTGTTGAGAACATTCCTAACCTTCTCATTATCAAATTCTCCTCCATTATCACTGAGGAATTCATGCACAACATGTCCTAAGGCCTTTGCCTTCCGTATCACATCTGTTAAGATACTTTCCACTTCTGATTTTTCCTTCAACAAATACACATATCTGTATCTAGAGTAATTATCCTTAAATAGTGCAACATACCTCTTTCCTTGAAAGGTTGGTTTGAATGGACCACACACATCTGCAGATAAGAGTTCTCCTTGAATTGTCACTTCGTTTCTTCTTCCAAAGGGAAGTCTATGAGCCTTTCCATACATGCATGGTTCACACACAGAACTATCTACCCTTACTTTTATTTGAAACTCCTTTTCAAGGATATTCTTTATGTGTCTTTTATCTTGGTGTCCAAACCTCTCATGGTATAGCTGAAGAGTGGAATCATTAGTTGTAACAGAATTTACTTCAATTTGTCGCTCTGGCATAACAGGCTCAATTAGGGCTTTGTACAATCCACCTCCTGTGGAACGCTTTCCTTTTACTATCTCCTCTCCATGGACTTGCAAACTGCATGTGTTAATACCTGATATGAATCTACTTGATGGGTTGGCTTCATGAGCTGTTAGGACAGAAAAAAGATTCTTGACAAGGTCAGGCACAAATAACACATTCTTTAGTAACAACATTTTATTCTTGTTTCCTAGGTCTGACTTCACTTTCATGTCTCCAGCCCCAACTGCTTGTAGCGGAGCTTGACCTGCTTGAATAATGTCCTTTGGCTTCTCAAACCCTTCAAAATTTATGAAGTACTTGGAACAATTTGTCATGTGTTTTGTAGCACCATTGTCAATCCACCACTCTGTACCCTTAACCTCAACTGTAGAGCAAATCTCACAATCAGAAGCTACTGTTCCAATTATTACTTGAGCACTGTCTTTACTACTTTCTTTTTCTTGATTTCCTCTTTGAGGACAGCCATCACGTATCCACTTCTTGCAAGTTTTCACCCAGTGTCCTTTTCTTTTACAGTAATTGCATGTGTCGTTTTTCTTTGATTTTGGCTTCCAGTTATGTCTTGCAACAGAGGCCTCCTGTGTAAAATTCTCAACTTCTTTCACTGTTTCTTGAATCGGAAATTTTACAAAATTTCTCTCGAACATGCATAACTTACTAGTCAATTCATCTATTGGGTTGTCTTTGCTTTTTCCTATAAGCATCCAACTAGACTTGAATGACTCAAATGACTTTGGTAGAATACTCATAACTTTGCAAATAAACAATAGGTTAGGCAGCGCATGTTCCTTCGTTGCCACCAAACCACCGTTTAACTCATTCCACAAGGTTAAAAGTTTTGCTACATGTGTTGATACATCTTCTTTGTCTGACCAACTGAAGGCGAAGAAATCACTACAAAACTTAAACAATTGATCTTCTGTACCAGCCTCAAATTGCCTTTTGAGAGTCGCCCATACCTCACGTGCCGTGTCCTTATCCATTATCTTTTGATACACTATATCTGTAACTGATGCTGTGATCATGGATTTGGCATAACTGTTTGCCTTTCTGTAGTAATCCAACTCTATTTTATACTGTCTCTGTTGTGCTGCAGTCGCGTTCTCTTCAAGTGGCTCCGGTTTTGTTATTTTACCATCAATGGCTTCTAGGGCTCCCTCATGGTAATCCATAAGATCCCTTATTTTCCTTTTCCACACAGGCCAGTCTGCACTGCTACCTAGTGGTTTAAGTTTCTTTATGAAATCCATTCTTCTTCGGATTTTCTTCAATGGCGAATAACCCGCTCTT